TTTCCAAAAAAAAAACTGAGCTGTATATAGCTTTACATGAATAAGGTGATTGTGCAAAAATCGTAGTTGAAACGCATTAACATCCAACTTAGGGTTAGTGAATGACAACTACGCCAATGGGAACCGAAAATGAAACAAACACAACCTCGACAACCCTTTGGGGAAATGATCCAAATAAAAATTGTACGATTTTCTCTCAGCTATCGGTCGGCGACCTTGGATTTGACCTTGGTTTCAACCTTGAAGGTAGACTTTAGATTTTTAAATGTAAACCTATATTTTGACGCCCGCAATTAAACGAGCGAAAAAAATTACCTTCAGATATGACCTCTAATGACCTCCGAGCAACTAAGGCTAGGATGATAGTCCCGGGCAGCTAAGGTAAGATTAAAGGCCCCGGTCATATAGTGGTAGTTTGACCGTGACCTTGACTCACAGTACCACTATATGGTCGCCTTAGTTGACAGGGACTATCATCATTGCTTTAGTTAGCCGGGAGGTAATTAAAGGTAAAACGTGGGAGTTATATGAAGGTTATTTGAAAGTCAACTGTAGAATTTCAAATGTAAGCTCCTACTTTTCCGGTAATGAATAGAGCGGCAAATGTTACGTTTACACATAATCTTAATTGACCCTCTTATTTGACCTTGAGTGGTCTCAAGGGGAAATGCTTCAATTAAAAGCTGTATGATTTTTACTCGAGTTATCAGAATGTGACCTTGTTATCGATCATGACATTCAAGGTCATTTTCAAAAATTTTCTTCTGAACGTAGTACAAACTAATCTGATGTACCTATTAAAGTCTACTTTAAGCTTTAAATCAGTAACTCTTCAAAACTACTTAACTGAAGCTCATGTATTTTACATCATTATAAATGGAATTGAAAGACTTTTAAAATAAGGTATCACTCGACCCCACTTTCCATTTAATATTTTAGGGTTGGTGTCACCCCTGCCCAGGGGGCTGCACATGTTAACGTGATTTTTTGCCAAAGTTGTGTCCCCCTCGAAAAAAAAATCGACGGGTCTGAGCGTTTTTCAAAAAAAAAAACTGAGCTGCTAGTAAATGCGTATGTTTCGTTTTTGATGCGCCACCCTGTATATAACTTTACACGAAAAAGGTGATTGTGTAAAACTCGTAGTTGAAACGCATCAACATCCAACTTAGGGTTAGGGAATGACAACTACGCCAATGGGAACCGAAAATGAAACAAACACAACCTATACCTACCTTATGGGCTATAATTTTACATAATATAGCAGTACCTTATTAATGTCTCCGCCCCAAAGAAACTGCAGATAAAAATAAGAAAGAACTAGTTGCTCCGTCATCACGACTAGATGTCATATTGCATTCTTGATAAAAATGACCTAATAACAAATAATGCTTCTAATCACGTCATGGAAGATATATTATTTAGTACATAGGATTTTCGGAGATATTTAGCAGCCTCCATCTCTGCAAAAATTCGAATGTAAACAGGTCTAAATTCTATAGTAGTCAGTGGTCACAACGAGTTGTGGTTTTGCTGCTCTAAATGACGAAATTTTATACGAAACGTTGGGCTTATCAAAACATATCGTTTTTTCTTCAAAAACGTGCCAAGTAAGAAACGATAAAACACATCTGTTGTTTTGTTTGTTCTATATTCTTTTGAATTAAGATATTTTGGTTCATTGTTTTTTCATGTCCCAAGTAAAAAAATACGTAAAACTAATTCTGTGTTCGGGCTATTGAGGTTAGAAAATGTCTTATGCTCTAGGCCCTGTGTAATAAATTTTCTATTAAGTTAGTTCTCATATTAGAACAGATCGTAAAACCTAAGATGGAGATTTTGCTGGTTAATCAGCTCTTAGATTTTGCAGGGTGTCGCATATGACGAAAGGCTCATTTCTAGCATCAATAAAAGTTGAATGAAAATAGCACATAAACATGTTTAAATTCATGAGGGGAATCTCAGAATACAAAAATACAAAGGGTTTTTTTCTATTATAAATGTTTGGTCTAGTTTCACTTTGGGCTACCCTGTATATCAGAAAATATTTTTTCATTTATAATTTAACTTTTTTTCAATTTCTTATAATAAGGAATCTATGGTACTCCATCAGCATACGAATGACAAAATATCATATACGTATATACTAAGTGACATATAAATCCGAACACCCAGTTTAAATGGTTTTATTTTCATAAAATTTTGTATAAGTACTTAATGAAGCATAATAAGTAAATGATAAAAATTTCAAAATGATTGCACTGCTTTAAAGCCCTTTGACCTTTAATAATGTGTGGATGCACCCTGATGTGCTACGCATTCTCCAACGCGCCTAGACATGCTTCTGATCAGGTGGTCAATGTCCTCCTGTGGTATCTCATTCCAGGCAACCACTAACTCCTCTCGAAGTGCTTCTAGAGTCTGAGGAGGACGTTGCAAATTGAGCAACCCATCATATCCCACACGTGCTCAATTGGGGATAAGTCGGGAGATCTTGGTGGCCATGGTAACAATGTGACATCATTATGTTGAAAGAAGTCTATTGTGACTCTTGCAACATGTCGTCGGGCATTATCTTGTTGGAAAGTTGGATCTGCCAGGGTGTCAAGATAGGGTAAAAGATGGGCTTCTAGAACTTCGTGGATATAACGCTGCGCGTTCATGTTACCTCTGATGAAGATTAAAGGTGACCTGGAACCATAAGCTATAGCACCCCAAACCATAACTCCAACAGTGTGATGAACATGTCTTTCAACAAAAAACTGTGGATTCCTCCTTTCACTACGTCGCCTTCTAACCCTGGCACGACCATCGTGCATGCCTAAACAAAATCGAGACTCGTCACTAAAGACAATACTGTTCCATTCCTGATCCCAGAGTGACCGTTGTCTGCACCACTCAAGGCGATTACGTCGGTGTTAAAGGGAGGACCCAGTGTGGCCGGTATGAAAACAAGCCAAAACTTCTCATTCGTCGGTAAACACTTCGCATGCCAATAGGTCTTCCGTGTTCTGCAAACCATTCATTTGCAATGGACCTGGTAGTGGAGAAACGGTCCCTTAAGGCCAATAATTTTAGGCGGCGATCTTCATGGTCTGTTGTTCTACGGCGGCGTCCAGTGCCCCTTGCTCCTTGCGTACGGCCTTCTCGAAGCCATGCCTGACAACACCTAACTACAGTGTCTACACTTCTTTGCACTCTAACTGCAATTGCCCGAAAAGAAAGTCCAGCTTCCCGAAGTCCCACTATACGGCCCCTATCAAACTCACTAAGTTGACGAAATCGTACAGGTCTCCGTATTCTAGGCATCGTAACCGATCGTAAAGGATGTCAAGAACCAAAATCCGCCAACGTTGATTCTTTACTGCGGCTGAAATATTCATTTTTAGAGCGTTAGTGAATTGAAAAAAAGCAGTATAAAAACCGGAATGTCCAACTGGTAAGGCTGAAAAATTTTTCACTTGTTATTTACAGTAAGATAAATACATTCACCAACTTTTATTAAAATAAAACCATTTAAACTGAGTGTTCGGATTTATATGTCACTTAGTATATAGATGGCAGTATCCTCGTAGAGGATGATCTCATGGACCCACCACTTCGCCGTTTTGTATGTCAAAGTTCAACGAAAGTCCCATTTAATTATCCGATAGCGATGCGACAGCTTGCGCTGCATAATTTTTTATGGCCGAAACCAGATTATAAAATATTTTGCGAAATTTACAGTCATGCAAATAGAACGGCCGTCAACATCGTTAGTTGTTATGGCTATGAGGTGGTTATGATAATACAGCTTCTTGCGTTGAAGCTCTTCAAAGAAAAGCACTAAAAACGATTTGTTTTATTGCTTTCTTTTTACAATGCATAGCCGTACTTCTTATAAGCTAAGAATTTTCCACACGTATTGTATAGAATCTTTTTTTAGCAACGAAAAGCGTCGGCGAACTGGTCGCTCCTTGTAAGGGGTTTCTGCTCTATGCTGCAGTTAAAAACAAGTTAACTGCTAGGGGTTAAAAAAACCCTTACCTTTGATTGAATCTTGTGTCGATGATTTATCTGCAAAGCTGCTTCAAATACCTACCCCGATACAGATAGTAGTATATGCCGTACGTAAAAAATATACAAGACTTTCGATTAAATTCTTTTTGTGGCTTTTGGCGTCTGGAATTAACGCGTACAGAAAAATAGTTCCAACCTTTAAAGGACTTGACAGATTTTCAAAAAATTCCGCAACGTTCATCTGCAACGCTGACGCTAGACCTGACGAAGTTTTGACTTCCTGCCGTTGCCGTCCCCGATTCAACCAAAAAAATCACGTGTTTGTTGCGACAGGTCAGCTCGTTTTTTGCTCTGTTTGACGTGACGTATGTTTTGTCTTTCTCGGTGTGGTTTCTTTTGATATCGTTTGCCACCGGCGAAGTGTTATAGTGGAGAAAAAATTAGAAAATTTTAGTTTTTTGGATATTTACATGACATGTTATGTGACATGACAGGGCTACGTGGAAAATAAGGGCGACGTTCCTGAACTGCTGCAGAGTGTGATTTGGAGTACCCTAACAATAGTGAACCTTTCTTCCCGTGCTCAAAACCTTGATAATAGGAGTATTGTCACTTTTCGTTCTTATGGTTTGTTGTTTACTTGATTTGGTTATCAAAATATTCTCAAAATTGGCAGAATATAATACATTTTTCTCGATAAATGGGCTACCACGTATCCGTAGCGTTTCTTATAATAAAAATGGCCGCAGAAAACGGTTAAAAATTATTCAGCTGTCATCAAGTGTCATTAGATGCCTCTAATAATTTTGCGTTCTAAAAATCGAGTTACACAGTATTCCAGAGTGACATTTCATCTGTCAAACTACTTTCTATTACTGTGTACATTACCAAGTGATTCAGGAACGCACCCCAGTGTCAAACTATTTGACACAATTTGTTTGACATCAAATGCTGTTTGTTTTTCCTTAGCTTCGTTCGTTGACCGTTTTTTTTGTTTGTTGCAGATTCAAAACAACTATGAGTGGGAGAAAAGGAACAAAAGGACTGGAATTATGGTGCAGGAAGATGACAGAAGGTTATCCTGGGGTCAAGATTGATAATATGACCACATCATGGAGGGACGGATTAGCTTTTTGCGCCATAATACACCGCTTCAGACCAGACTTGATGTGAGTATTTCGATAAACAAGCAATATTCCCAGAAAACCAAATTATACAGCTTAGGACTTTACAGGGCGGATAGATCAGGCAATAATAAATATGTTTTTTTTTAGTAACATACGAGTATATACCAAACCTTCAAGATAACCGAGATATATGAGCCAGGACGAGCCTGCCTTTCCCCCCCCTCCACAATCCCCTCCTACAACAAAACGTACTAAGACTATGTGAGTCAGTATCCAAATCAAACGTCGCGTGGTGTCATAACCGTAAGTGACCTTCTTATTTGACCTTGGATGTTCTCAAGGTCAAACTACCACGAATGCTAGATATCGATAACTCTTCAGGAATGCATTTTAAGGAAAAATACTTCGAATAAAAGTTATAGGATTTTTAACTCAGCTATCAGCAAGTGACCTTGGATTAGATCTTTATCTTGAAGGTCATTTGAAGACCTACTTCAAAATGCTACCGGAGCGGCTCGATAACTCTTTGAGAGATACGTTTTTGGGGAAATGATCCAAACAAAAGTTGTACGATTTTCTTTCAGCTATCGGCCGGTGACCTTGGTTTGAACCTGGAAGATCATTTGAAGGTAGACTTTAGATTTTTAAATGTAAACCGATATTTTGACGCCGGCCATTAAACGAGCGAAAAAAATTACGTTCAGATACGACCTCCAATGACCTTCGAGCAACTAAGGCAGGGACGATAGTCCCGGGCAGCTAAGGTAAGATTAAGGGCCCCGGCCATGTAGTGGTAGTTTGACCTTGACCTTAACTACCACCACCTTTAGTTGCCCGGGAGGTAATTAAAGGTAAAATTTGGGAGTTTTATGATGGTCACTTTCAAACTTAATCTCCTACTTTTCCGGTAATGAAAATAGCGGCAAATTTTACGTTTACACATAATCTTAATTGACCCTCTTATTTGACCTTGAGCGGTCTCAAGGGGAAATGCTTCAATTGACAGTTGGATGAGTTTGACTCAGTTATCAGAATATGACCTTGTTATCAATCTTGACATTCAAGGTCACTCCAAGGTCATTTTCAAAATGTTTAATGCAAATCCATACTTTTGCCTTGTCAATGAGTCGAGAGAAATATTTTACGCTCAGATATGACCTTGAGTGACCCTCATATTTGAGCTCGAATGAACTCTGGACAACTAAGGCAAATATGTAATAAGTAAGGTTAATGGCACCGGCCATATATTGATAGTTTGACCTTGACTGAAAGTAACGCTACATGGCCGGGGCACTTAGCCTTGCTTTAGCTGCTTGGGAAGTCACTTAAGGTCACCCAAGGTCATATCTGAGCGTAAAAGTTTCCGCTCCTTTCATTGCCGGGGTCAAAATAGCGGCCTACATTTGAAATACTTGAAGTTGAGCTTTAAATTCGAGGTCAAGGTCAGATTTTGATAGCTGAGGAAAAATCCTGCAACTCATATTTGAAGCATTTCTCCTTAAAAAGCATTCCGGAAGAGCTGTCGATTTCCAGAATTAGTCGTAGTTTGACCTTGAGGGATTACTCATGGTCAAATATCAGTCACATTCAATGCCATATTGGAACGTAAAATTTTCTGCTCGTTTCGTTACCGGAATCAAAGGTAGGGGTTTACATTTAAAATATGAAATTTGACCTTCTAATAACTCCCAAGGTCGAATCCAAGGTCACCGACCGAAATGTAAAAGAATGTCCTACAAGTTTCCCCTAAAATGAGTTTTCAAGCTGTCCCCTGTGTAAATAACTTGCCACTTTTACACCCACTGTCATACAGAGGATCCTGGAAAATTGTTATTGGTTCATCTAAAAAAAATCAATATGTTGAGAAACATACGAACTGACACTGCAAAGTATAGTCACGACTGGAAAGGTTAATGCCCCTCTAATATGCAATAATTTCCGTGTATATTCGATATTCCTTTGCAATTACAACTTCGTCGATTCATATCTCGTTCGAGCCAAATAATCAGTAATTTAATCAATATTGTGCTTGATTGAACCGATAAGACTGCCATCGCTCACTGAACAGCAAAAGTGTCCGGCATTAATCAACTTATAATCATTCGTTTATATCAAACGCCGAAGATATCCACCGAAATATGCACCACTTATCTGAATGAAAGGATAAACATAAATCACTTTTATTATACCATTATTCACGATTGCGGAGTGTTAATGATATGAGGCACGATGAAAAATTTTGTATGCTCGGGTTCAAGGTGCTTGTCCTCATGAATGTAAATCGTTAGCATTGCAATTGATTCGAGTTCGGGTTATGTCGGTGTACCATTCACCTTTGCCGCAAAATGTATATACAGGGTTTTAATTAAGTATGTACCATAAATTAATAGTAAAAAATCCAAAAGAGACTATACTAACTGACATATAAATCCGAACACCCAGTTTAAATGGTTTTATTTTAATAAAATTTTGTATAAGTACTTAATGAAGCATAATAAGTAAATGATCAAAATTTCAAAATGATTGCTCTGCTTTAAAGCCCTTTGACCTTTAATAATGTGTGGATGCACCCTGATGTGCTACGCATTTTCCTACGCGCCTAGGCATGCTTCTGATGAGGTGGTCAATGTCCTGTGGTATCTCATTCCAGGCAACCACCAACTCCTCTCGAAGTGCTTCTAGAGTCTGATGAGGACGTTGCAAATTGAGCAATCTCCTACCCATCATATCCCACACGTGCTCAATTGGGGATAAGTCGGGAGATCTTGGTGGCCATGGTAACAATGTGACATCATTATGTTGAAAGAAGTCTATTGTGACTCTTGCAACATGTGGTCGGGCATTATCTTGTTGGAAAGTTGGATCCGCCTGGGTGTCAAGATAGGGTAAAAGATGGGGTTCTAGAACTTCATGGATATAACGCTGGGCGTTCATGTTACCTCTGATGAAGATTAAAGGTGACCTGGAACCATAAGCTATAGCACCCCAAACCATAACTCCAACACTGTGATGAACATGTCTTTCAACAAAAAACTGTGGATTCCTCCTTTCACCACGTCGCCTTCTAACCCTGGCACGACCATCGTGCATGCCTGAACAAAATCGAGACTCGTCACTAAAGACAATACTGTTCCATTCCTGATCCCAGAGTGACCGTTGTCTGCACCACTCAAGGCGATTACGTCGGTGTTCTCGAGTTAAAGGGAGGACCCAGTGTGGCCGGTATGAAAACAAGCCAAAACTTCTCATTCATCGGTAAACACTTCGCATGCCAATAGGTCTTCCGTGTTCTGCAAACCATTCATTTGCAATGGACCTGGTAGTGGAGAAACGGTCCCTTAAGGCCAATAATCTTAGGCGGCGATCTTCACGGTCTGTTGTTCTACGGCGGCGTCCAGTGCCCCTTGCTCTTTGCGTACGGCCTTCTCGAAGCCATGCCTGACAACACCTAACCACAGTGTCTATACTTCTTTGCACTCTAACTGCAATTACCCGAAAAGAATGTCCAACTGATAAGGCTGAAAATTTTTTCACTTGTTATTTACAGTAAGATAGATACATTCACCAACTTTTATTAAAATAAAACCATTTAAACTGGGTGTTCGGATTTATATGTCACTTAGTATATTTACCCATATTCCTTATATGGCCCATTGACTTTTTTCTCGAAAACTAAGCAAGATACGAAAAAAATCGAGATACAAAAAAGTTGTATTTCTATTTGCTTAATCCAAATGTCATAATAAAAATTGCACAAAAGTAAGTGGTGTATATTTTTTTGTCACAAATATTCATTCAGATCCCGCTTGACTTGATAAATTTAATCAATTAGGGCTAAATTAGCTTCTTAGTGTTATGCATACCATCGCCAAATTACAATGAAATTAGATATTTAAAGAATTTAGTTTTTTTTTAATTTTAACACCCTGTATCTTGAATGCGAAGAATTTGCGAATCAGGATTATATGAACTCTTTGTCTTAAAGTTACTAAAAAATCGTCTGTTAAATTTGTGGAGCATTCCTAATTAACACCCTGTATAATCGGGCAATTTCTTTGTCTCTTTTTATATCCAATTTTACTATTGACCTGCGGAAATCGCAATTTGCGCCATTTGCACAAATTCCACTAATGGGAAGGCGTTTTTGAAGCAAAGGAATCATTTTTTGCTTCATTTTCCTGTAGATGCTAGAAAACATCTAGGAATGGTTAATAAAAACTTGAAATTAGGAACAAAACAATAGTGAAACAAATTTTACATAACTAGCATCAAAAATGCCTACAAAAGAAGAACTTTTCACTGATCGATCAGAAACCTTCTAAAATTTTTGTTTAAAGGACTTCACGTTTGGTGAAGCAATACTTCATAAATCATCTGGTTTAACTACGAAAACATATTTATTTTTGTTACTACTAGCCTGAGAGATACCTTTGAAAAAGAAGATTTATTTTTTCCAGTAGAGGTTAGCTTCAAAAACCTATTTTTTCTTTTCATAGGCTAGCAACAGGTCAGTCAAATTAGATCATTGACCTTTGTCCTTGCTGTACAAAATCTTGCTTAATAAATTCTTCGAAGACATAAACAAATTACAGAATGCTTATTGTTTAACAAACATCGAATAAATATTCGATTTACCTGACTACCTTGCGAAATTAACCCTGTTTCTTTCTAGTTAGTGTAATGGCCAACACGTGTTTAGTGCTAATTTTCCTGGCTTATCTCATAACCGCTGGCGCCATCTACCGACACCGTGAGAAGGTAGTCCAGTAGAGGAGGCAGCGAGGTCTCCGTTTTTAACTCTTTCCTCCTTTAATCTTCGATATTTCTTGCAGTTGCAGCATATAATAATAAGCATCAACATTCCTGTTCTTAAACTCCCTTTACAGTATTTATTTTAGATCAGAATGTAGGCCTTGCTTTCGCGGTTTGTTTCATATAACAAATAATTTACTATAGTAACCAGACTGTTAAACGTACAAACATGGTCTGTATTTAGAACATGTTTTACGCCGTGTATTGCATTTTTCTTGCAGGCTGCGGTG